GCCAAGGTTAAGAGATTTACGGCCAGTCATGTCCAGGTTTGCTTAAATGCGTGGTGACTTGTATGGCATGTGAATTATATCCAAACGGCCAACCTATCTGTTACAAAGAAAAAAGTGATTATGCTCAGCTTTATCCTTCTGGATACTATTCCTATAGATTCTTATCCTCATTTATTATATTTTATCCTTGTTAACAGTCCTCTCTTCCCCCTCCTGTGTGTCTTTTTACATAGAGAAAATGCTGTACAGTCTCTGATTTTTCCTCTTTTCACTTCTAAGTGTAATGGTTGCACCCCAGAATGTCGGTCATTTTTATAAAAATGGTGGCAATATTAGTACACAGTAGTGTGGTGGTTAGAGTATGGACTCGAGCCAGACCACTTGGGTTTGAACCCAGCTCTACCAGTTACTAGCTGTGTAACTCTGGACAAGTAACCTCTCTGTTTTAACTTCCATATCTGTAAAAAGAAAATAATGAGGTAATACATTTAAGGACCTTAGAACACTATGTAGCACTCAATAAACTTTAGTGGTTATTATTATTATCGAGAGTAAGTTACCCACTCTTCCTGAGTAGTTTTCCCCTTTTGAAGTTTTGGCATCAGCCTCTTAACTTTATGAAATATTTTTCTATAGTCAAGGCCAAGTATTCATGCTTTTGGTATTTCCTTTCTTAGAAAAGTCCCATTACTTCTCCGTTGCCAAATTAATTCGCAGGATTTTGCTCTTGTCTCCCACATGTCTATCATGAAATGCTGAAGGCGCCAGTATAAGTCAACAGCCTGGACCACCTTTAGCAAAGTAACTCAACAGACGATTCACACATTCACAAATACTTACAAGGTATCTTTTCACTACAGCCAAAGTACTTTGCACAGAGGTGGGGAAGACAACCAAGTAAGTAAGCAGGTCTACTTGGAAGGAAACTAAAGAAAGACAATAAATAACACAAAGCAGAACAGGATGGATGAAGGAGCCCAAAGTACAACAGGGATTCAGAGGAAGAAGCGGTCATGTCTGCTTTGAACCTGGAAAATGGCTGTTCCTCAAGGCAAGGCCCTCTCTGCTGCCCATAAACCTCTTGGGATTTCTTGCTATGAAAAACACTGTGAGAAATTCTTTACCCAAAACAAGGTCCATGCCACTGATGCATAAACACTACAGGAACCAGGGTCTTCACAAATGCTGTGTGCCAGCTCTTAGCCAGGACACAGACCACATGCCAACCCTTGCCATCTCCCTTAGATCGCACCAGCTACTTTTCTGGGGCCTAAGCAAATTATGGCACCATAGAATTTTGCACCAAAGTTAGGATATTTGCAGTCAGTCATGTCCAGCTTTGTGTCTCATCTTTACAATCCTCAACCCCAATCAAAAGGCAGCATCTGCCACGTCTCCATCCTTATTTCCCCCTTGGTTCTTCCTTCTATTGACCCTTTCCCCAATTCTTCCCATTATAAATAACTCCCTTACATCCTCAACTTTTTCAACTGCATGGTTTAAAATCAGGAAAGGTGTGCATCAGGGTTGTATCCTTTCACCATACTTACTCAGTTTGTATACCGAGCAAATAATCTGAGAAGCTGGACTGTATGAAGAAGAATGGGGCATCAGGATTGGAGGAAGACTCATGAACAATCTGCAATATGCAGATGACACAACCTTGCTTGCTGAAAGTGAAGACTTGAAGCACTTACTGATGAAAATCAAAGACTACAGTCTTCAGTATGGATTACACCTCAATATAAAGAAAACAAAAATCTTCACAACTGGACCAATAAGCAACATTTTGATAAATGGAGAAAACACTGAAGCTGTCAAGGATTTCATTTTACTTGGATCCACAATCAATGACCACGGAAGCAGCAGTCAAGAAATCGAACAACGTATTCCATTTGGAAAATGTGCTGCAAAAGACCTCTTTAAAATGTTCAAAAGCAAAGTTGTCACCTTGAGGACTGAGGTGCGCCTGACCCAAGCCATGGTATTTTCAATTACCTCATATGCATGCAAAAGCTGGACAATGAACAGGGAAGACCAAAGAAGAACTGATGCATTTGAATTATGGTGTTGGTGAAGAATATTGACTATACCACGGACTGCCACAAGAACGAACAAATCTGTCTTGAAAGAAGTACAGCCAGAATGCTCCTTAGGAGCGAGGATGACGAGACTTCAACTCATGAACTTTGGACATGTTATCAGGAGGGACCAGTCCTTGGGGAAGGACATCATACTTGGTAGAGGGTCAGCAAAAAAGAGGAAGACCCTCAAGGAGATGTGGCTGCTAACAGTGGGCTCAAATGTAGTAACAATTGTACAGATGGCACAGGACAAGGCAGTGTTTCATTCTGTTGTCCACAGGGTCACTATGAAGTCGAAACTAACTCGATGGTACCTAACAACAACATCCTCAACCTCTTCACAGAGTATGACCTCCAATTCCTGTCCAGCTGAAACCAGGCTCGCCCCTGCTTTCCCCAAGCAGGCTGCTCACTCCCCTCCCCTACCAACATGCCAAGTATCAGGGGCCAAAGGGAAGGAGTTGGCATCCTTTTGGTTTCCCATTGACACTTTCAGGCCATTACTCTTCTACATTCATGTAAAAGACCTTTTTTTTTTTTTCCCCGAGGCTGTTGCTATTAATTCATACTACCCACCAACCCTTCATTGCCGTTATCTTCTGACCATCATCTTCTAGCAATGTCCCCTCCCTTCCCTCAGTGAAAACTTGAGACCCAGCTCATGGTGGTTTTCTTTACTTTTAACCCCTGCCCTAACCTAAAATATCAAAAATTATTTTAGACATCAATCCAATAACACAGCTTAGCAATTCCTAGGGAATTCTCTGGAATTCCAGGGATCCTGACCCCTATTCGGAAACCCTGGTGGCATAGTGGTTAAGAGTTTGGCTGGTAACCAAAAGGTCAGCAATTCAAATCGACCAGGTGCTCCTTGGAAACACCACGGGGCAGTTCTACCCTGTCCTATAGGATCGCTATGAGTCAGAATCGACTCCACGGCAATGAGTTTGGCTTGGTTTTTGGTTTGACCCCTATTCAACAACCCTTAGGGCCACATTGTGGAATCCTGTCATTAACCAATTCTCCATCTCTGACATCTTACACTACAATATTATTCTACTTTTTGACCACAAGACGCTTTCTCAAGATCTCATTTTATAATTATCTGTGTATGGGCCTGATCCCATCTTTCGAGAATTCTCATTACAGCCTCTATCCATCAACTGGAGTCGGCACTCAAGTTTACAGTAATTTATAATTTCTGGTCTAGTCTCTTCCCTTCAATGACACAACCATCTCTTTATTCTCTTAGCTCCTATCTGCTTCTTGTCTCCATAGATTTCTTTTACTATTCCACTCATAACTGCTGATATCCTCAGGGATCTGATTTTCCTACTCTACCTTCTCCCAAAGTAATCTCATCTGCTTTCATTGTTTCAACAACTACCAATATGCGTGCCATTCCACCTGACGCTGTATAACTTGATTTTATCTGACTACCTGCTGGACAATTCTATCTGCACGCCCCATAGGTACTTTGTAGTCAAAACCAAACTCTTCTTCTTCCCCCAACTCTTATTCTCTACCGCAGCTGGTGGCACTGTTATCCCATCCTGTCACCCAAGACATACACCTGGGAATCAAATTGACTCCTCCACTTACCATCACGTTCCATCAATCCCCAACTCCTGCCAATTTCCCCTCACAAACAATTCTTAACTCTGTTTCATTCCTCTTTTTCTCCACCTTGGCTGCATATCAGAATCACTTGGGAAGCTTTGACAAATTCCCTGACCACACTAAAGACCATTTCAATTAGGACCCAGACATCAATGATTTTTAAAATTTTCCAGGTGATTCCAATGCACAGTCAAGATGTTTCATCTTCATTCTTCCTGGCTTTGCACTTCCATTCAAGCAATACTAACTACTTTTAATCAATCATACCTCTCCCCAAGCCCTACTGTTGCTTGTCTTATCATACTCTCCACCATCCTCCATGCCTCTCTCTGGCCTATTCCAACTTATCACATGGACCTTAAAGAAGCTTCCTGGAAGAAGTCTTCTCTAATCTGCCCATCGATGGTTGAATTAAGTATTCCTCTTCAGCACTTCCTTGGTGCCCAGTAAATCTCTTATCACTTTGCTTAGCATGCTGTTTTATATTTATCTACGTATGGGCCTGATCACCTCACCTAGCAATATGCTACCTCAGGCCAGGACTAGCTGACTCACTCATTTTTGTATCCTCAGAATCTATCACAGTGATTGGCCTTACGTAAATGCACACACAATACCATGTTGAATGACTTTCCAGAGACGATGAAAGGCTTTTTGGAAAGAGGTTGTTTACCCTAGGTCTTGATGGATGGGTTGGATTTTGAACCATACTTTGATTACTTAATTTGATTTTAATAACCCATTTGATTATGTAAGTATAATATTCTGCTTAACTCTGGTGTCCCCAAGCATTCACTGCAGCTTCTTCTATACTCTTATTTTGTACTTACTCTACATCTGCAATGAGGATGAATTTCTAACCTCTTTCCAATTTTTTAAGAAGAAACTGTTAATAGTATAATAGTCTGATATTATCCTACATTATATTTTTCTTTAGTTTTGTGAGCAATAACATATTACAATCAAAATTTCTTTCACTCATGAGATACATATGGTTATCTTGGATCAAATTATCTCATCTTGACCACTTGAAACTTTCTTTTGCCCCCTATAATATAAAACAATTTGCTGGCTGGCCTATACCCAAAGACTATGATTAAGGAAAAAGAGAAAATCAAAGACGTTCAATCACAACTACATATAAAACCAAAACCCATTGCCGCTGAGTTGTTTCCAACTCGTAGTGACCCTATAGGACAGAGTAGAACTGCCCCATAGGGTTTACAAGGCTGTGTATCTTTACAGAAGCAGACTGTCATATCATTCTCCCACAGAGCTGCTGGCGGGTTCCAACTGCCAATCTTTCAGTTAGCAGCTGAACGCTTAACCACTGTGCCACCAGGGGTCCTCAACTACATATACACAATTAAAAATGTTTTAAAGGATGCTTCAAAAGAAATACACAATACAAATAATGTAGTTTTGTGTCCTTTTAATAAACACACTTGCATAGTTATATTACAATTTTGTAAAAATAAAAACAAATTACCTCATGCCAAGCGTGCCCAGCATTTGCACAATCTCAATACTTTTAGAGCTAGTTTTCAAGACACACAAAATAAAATTTTAAGGCAAAAAACAGCACTTTGCAACAATTTAATAATTTATTACATTACAGTAGCATCACAGCAGCATCCAATAATGCCACTTTAGTCAAGAGTAAGCATTTCCATTACAGATTCTATTTACAAGAATTTGTAACCTGGTAAAATTCATTCTAAGAAAACTTGGCAACTAAAGCTTTAGACTGGAATTGGCATCTTTCTCTAATTTTCCTCCTCCCAGTTTCTTTATTTTAAACTACCAGTCTTCATACTGTATTTTAAAACATTAAAATAGCACTTACTTTTTTTTAAATAGTTGTATTATTTTAAAATGACTGTTTAAGATAAAGCTTTAGAGAAACTATACAACAGATAGGGTTGATTTAAAATTTCAGATTTTTCTAAAAATCAGCTTTGGTTTTAGAACTAATTTTTTTCATTGCTGGAAAAATCCATCAGGTTTAATCATGTACTTTAAAAAGAACTATACACAACTGCAATTTTTAAATAGGTATTTTGGGTTCTTTACCTCTTACAGGGTTCAGATTTAATCAGCTGTGCTCCCATTTTAAAATTCTATGTTCCTAATATACTCATTCCTTCTAATGTTGCGGCCTAAGCAAACTCAAAGCTGTCTTTCACACTGAATGAGAAAAGAACAAATATGTGGCTTAAATATGAGGTATTGCAAACAGTTGCATGCACTTTTAAGAAGGACTTAAGTTATTATTTTGTCATACAATTTCCTTTATTTTTAGCTTTCTCTCAAATATATAACACCTGTGTAAAGAGTGGTAGGTATTTCAGTACATACAATAAATTTATTTTCCAGACTCACATTCAGTATGTGATTTAATCCATAGATACCTGATGAACATAGTATGTCCAAATTGATTACAGATGCTAAACTCTGCCCGAATGTCATTCCTAGTAATCTATATTTATCAGTGTAAAAGTGAAACAGTTTCAGCTATAAAAGTACCTTTGAAGTAATCAGTGCATTAGATAAATCCATATTCAAAACTAAAAGAAAAAAGGTTATATCAAAGCATGTGGCTAATTAACAGTGGTCTGACTTCTAATCTCAGGGTTTAAAATGGATTTAAAGTAACTGGCCGTTAATCTGAACTCAACTAAAGGGTGCAAAAGCAGAAAGTTCAGAAAATACAAGGCAAGACTGGGTAATCGCACAATTTGGAAGAGTCAGTTGAATTCACAAGGACCCAATTTAGCACTGTCTCCTTTAGTGACTGCAGGCAAATCTGTTATTCCACCTGTAAAATGATATTATTGCTTTCCTATTAATGTCACATTTTATAAAATTATCATAACAATGCCAAGTGTTAAAAATCGAGGTGGTCTAATGACTAGAAATTTCCACCCCAGGGAGCACGCCTACATCCCAATAATGTTAAGTGTTTTGGAACACAGACATTTGAACTTTGTGATGTTTTAACTAAACTGATGATTCTCAAGTGTTACAAAGTTTTGATTTAGGCAAAGTATGGCTGAAATAACAATCCATTCATAATGTATAGGCACATTAACATAAATATTGCACAAAATATGCCTCCAACTTAAACTTGGAGGCATAAAAACATATTTCACTCTTCTTAAAGAACTCTGTGAGGAAATAAGACTCTGTGATTGTACACTTTTCCTGATAATACTTTGACATTCATAAACAGTAGGTTGCACTGCAGTTTGTAAACATTTTAAATTGCATAAACTTCTCTTATTGATTTTCAAATAGAGTTTAATACTGTATACTAAAACTCCTTTTTGTTTCAGCTAAGTACACGCATATTTATTAATTTATAATAATGTGTATTATATCTTTAATGTGTTTTCCATTCAAGGAAAAGAAGTAAAATCCTATGTCAAAGTAGCCAATGTAGTTGAAGAATAGATATTAGCCAGAGAACTCTGGACGGTAAAATCAATCTTCCAGCCTAAAGAGTCTTCATGGACAGAGCAGAATGCCCGCTTTCACAGCGTTTTCCTTGACTGCAATTCATTCGTGACTATAGTCTGTATGCCTGCTTCAGAGTCACTTAAAACTCTCCAGGGATTCCTTATGATCTCTACTAAATACATTAAGAAGAACTGTCAAGCAGTGTCCTTTGTTACCTGGGACATATAGTCACCTGATGAAAATATACAATAGGTAACATGAATTCTGACTTTAAAATGTATTATAGATATAAATGCTCCATCTAAGCTAAGGAAGCTTTCGCATCTCACCACCAACTGCGGGAGCCTTTCATTCCTCAAAGTAACACCCAGTTTTTGGTCATCAATAAAGAATTAGCATCTGACTGCTGCTGCACATAGTGCAGTATCTTCATTAGTCCAGAGCACTCAGAGATCCTAAGGGAGCTAGCACAGCACAGTGCAGATTCTCGGACAGTCCAAATAGACTGAACAGCCCACTCTGACACATACCCGCCAGAGCAGCTCACTTTCCTCTTCTGTGAGATAAGAAAAGCTCCCAAAAGATGTTGGTGCTCTTGACCCCCCAAACACAGAAAATAGAGAAAAGGTTATTTCCAGTTCTTGCCCTTTAAACAAATCTAAATATTGTTACTCACAGTGGCTTATCAGAAAGTAATAAACAGTGCGCATTTGGGGTAAATCGCATATAGAGCCATTAAGAGCTCACTGTGATTAGGATTAGACCAAACATAATAGCAAAGTATGAGCAAATTTTATCTGAATTCTGTAATGAATACATGTTGCAATAACGTTAGAAAAGCACGGCAGCCCATTCCAAATCAGCAAGAATAGCTTGTGCAAATAGTGGGTCTTTGTGTGTTTGAACTCCCACCATGTAAGGGCAAACTCAATATGCATGCTAATGACCTACAATTACCAAATAAAAAGGAGAAAAATGCTAAAGGGTGCCAGAGTGAACAGCAGGGAAAGCCACACAAAGACCCACTATCCTTTAACTTGTTACAAGTAAATTTTAACTGTAAACTAGAAACACAAAGAAATAATCACAAGTGGCTCTAACATCCGACCGAAGTAAATGAATTGTGTAGGAGACATTGGATCAGGGCTGCCTGCCCTGCCTCCTCGCTAGAGTCAAACTTGGATAGTGGGTCTCTGGGGTGCTTTCACACTGGAAGACAACATGGGTCCTAAAAAAAGAAAAATGAGGAATAAAATGAACATAATATAAATTAAGTAGGTGAGAAAAAAATCTGACTAGTAATAACCTGCAGTAAGGAATTATTAAAGGCAAGAAAGCAACACCAATTAAACAAATGTGGTCTACTGAAATTCTCAACCTTTAAAAAAATGTCCTAATTATATAATAAAATGAAATGAATATTTAAAGGGCAAAAGAACCACAAATGATAATTTAAAATTTAACCAGCTTTCACTGACTCATACAAAGATTACCAACAGCAGATTAATTTCTAAAGATCTAAGTAGGTACAACAAAAGATCTCAAATCAATTCCCGACTTTGACGATTAAGCATTTTCTGAACCATAACCTATATTAAAGTTATAGGTACATACAAATTTAATCTGAGTGGATTTCATACCTATCAATACAATTAACTCTATTCTTCAACTTTTTCATTTTCTTTGAAAGCAATTATGACTCTTCAATTTCTGATGAATAATTATTTCAAGTAAACAAAATCAGTACTCCTTGCTCTCCCAGGTGATTTAAACAACTGTTTTATATAAACAATAAACTTTCTCAGAGAAATCTATTTGGGAATTGTTCTCAGAGTTATAGAATTGAGAGATCTTTTATTCCAGGATGGATGACAAATCTTTGGTCATTAGGCAAAACAATACTCAGTTTTTAGACATGATCAAACTAATTAAACACACATATACACACACACATACCAACAAAAAACAAGGTCATAAGAATGTTCTGTTAATAGTTTTATAACAGAGACGTTTGAAACTACTCCTATTTTGAAATAACCTCTTGAATATTCTATTTCCCCAGCTTGCAATATGTAAAATGATCTTGCAAATAACTGGTTATCTCTTTCCCACTACCCTCCCAGCACTTTCCCCCTTCCCAACACTTGCCTTTCTGATAAACTGGTACCATTTATCCTTCATGTTTCCGTTCAAATACCCTCTGTGAAGTCTTCCCCAAACATGTCCTTCTTTTCCCAGTTAGACTTGGGGGCTCTTTCCCCAATATATATTTGTATACATATCCATTATAACAATTGTTGTATTTATCTGAATATCTGTTCCCTCCTGGACTCTAAAGCTACTTTAGGGCAGAGACTGTCTTTTTATCTTTGTATTCCTAATACTCAGTACTAAGTACATAGAAGACACTCAAAAAATACTTACCAAATGAATAAATTTCTTAACAGTGGGAAAAATGCTAACATAAAATCCAAAATACTATAAAAGGTAAAATCTGAAGTACGTGGGGAACTTTGTTCTTTTAAAATCATTGTGTAGGTCAGTAATGACTGAAAGACTGCTTTCTCTTTTCTATTTTATTTCTGAGTTTCAATACTGCCATTTCCTTGTTTCACTTCAGGGATGGCCTGAAAGTGGCTGGTCTTGCTATCAGAGCTGTGCTGTCTGATATGGCAGCCCCTAGCCACAAGTGGCTATTTAAATTTAAATGAATTAAAATTAAACACAATTTAAAACTGAGTTTCTCAGTCACATTAGCCAAAATTCAAGTGCTCAAAAGCTACATGTGGCTAGTGAAGATACAGACCATCTCCCTCACTGTAGAAAGTTCTACTGGATAACAGTTTAGTGTGGGCACCGCATCTAGGGGGAAGACTGAGGCTCTGCCAGTTCTACCCACACTAAAATGACAGATAAGGCATTCTCTGCCCAAAAGTAACTTCCATGGCAAATGAATCTTGGGTAACTACCATAATTCATGTCTACATTTTCTATGTATCATCTATGTATCAAATGTTTATTGACAACCTACTGTTGTTTCTTTTAAAAATAAAAAGATATCACTCAATTAACTTTATGTGTAGGTTACCTGCCTAGGAGGCTTTTACTAACCTGAAGGAGATTTCTCTAGAATAGTGATTTTTAAATTATCCCCAGAGGGGAACCTGAAAGGACTGTCACAGACACAAAGAAAAGGAAGGGAAGCCCTCAGAGCATGGTCCTTGCTGTCTTTCCCTTTAGAACAGCTTTCATCTGTTCTTTATATTCCTTATTATGTAAGACTTAATTGGAAAAAAATATTCCGCCACTGGAAAACAAGATAAAAAACAACAACACATTTGAAAACCATCATTTTAGATCATTTAAAAAAACCCGTTGCTGTCGAGCCGATTCCAACTCATAGTGACCCCCATAGGACAGAGTGGAACTGCCCCATATGGTTTCCAAGAAGTGGCTGGTGGGTTCGAACTGCCAACCTTTTGGCTAGCAGCCAATCTCTTAACCACTGCACCACCAGGGCTCCAATTCTGGATCACAGAAGCTATAAAAGCCAAGTCTATGGACAGCCTGGTATGGCTCCAGGGATCACAAGTTGAAGATCTTCCTGACCCAGCAGGTCTGAAAAGTATCTTCTCTTAGCTCCAAGAAAGGGGTGGTAGGTATTTGTAAGCAATCACATAAACTGGCAAGCACTGTAAACTGCCAAACCGTTATCAGAACTTAAAAACAGCCATTCATTCATTAGGCAACCAAGTTGTTATAATTTTTCTTACCACTTCTCTTGAAACCAGGAGACATTTTTGGGAATGTTAAAATCATGAAATACTAGACTCCTCCCACTTCCAAAATGGGAAATTTAGTTGTTTTATCTAAAGGGAAATCTTCTCCCCAGGATCAGAACTATGTTTATAATCTCTAAACCTAAATCAAGATTATAAATTAAAATTATTTTGTATAAAATGGATGTATAACATTTGCACTGAATCATGTGTATCTCAGTTTTGACTGAGTTATCATTTATATGTTCTCAGCAACTAAATCAAAACGAAAGGCTAAATCTTTTAGATAATTTTATGAGAATGATAAAAATATAAATTATGATATATTTTGTAAACAAAATAAAAAAATCAAAAGGGTGGGAATAAGTGACATCCATTCTATAAAACTAAAAAGAATCCCTAAGTACTGTTTATCCTATAATTTATTATTAATGCTGTGTTTATTATTAAAGATAAGAAGGGCTAGGTAACAACCAAGAGAGAATTTTATATAATACCAAATCTCCCTCTTGGAGGCCTGGACCCTTGTTCTAAAACTAGTGAATGAGACCTTGATTTGTGCACTTCTTGTTGCATGAGATGGTTATCTAAAAATCATCTGAAGTTTCACAAACAAAAGATTTAAACAGGTTATTTAATTTTCTCCTACCCCAGATGACATGTAAATATGTGCGAGATGAATGAGAAGGTTGCAAAATTAATGGTATTTTTACATTAACAGGGTAAAACAAATTTGTATGTGTGTAGGTGTGTGAATAGGGTAATTACCAGCTATTTTTTATTAAGCTGAAAAAGAGGGTGATGATATAGGGGAGTTGCAGTGTAGATTATTATTATAGCAAATAACTAATCCATAGGAGAAATTATACGTATTTTTTAGATGAAGTGTAATAGTAAAGTCTGAAGCTAGGGAAAAGTATTTAAAATAAAGGTATATAACATCAGATCTTGTAAAATTTCCTTTTGTATTTTCTTACTTTAAACGTTAGTATAGATTTGCTATGAACTAAGTTTAAGATCTGATCCAGAACAGTAAGAAATGCAGTGCTGAGTATTACAGCTTTTCATAGTAGTTGAGACATAAATAATTTGATGATACTCACACTGTTGACTTGGATCTGAGTCTGTTGTCATCTTAACATAGTTTGAAGGAAAGAGGCCGGTCACCCCATTGATTTCTCCTTGCCACCAGTCAGGATCATCTTTGTTCAAAACATTAATAAGTTGTCCCTTGGAGAAATTTAGCTCATCTTCATTATTTGCCACATAGTCATACATAGCGATCACTTGACACACTACCAGGAAAAAAAAAAAACACACACACACAAAATAACAAATTAATTATTCCTACAAGGATCAAATGTTGAATCTCTCCTAGGATTTAAATCATTTTTTAATAATAAACATTCAAATTAGGCTAAAATTTCCCTTTCGAGCTGCTCTTCCTCCCTTTCTCCTTCCCGTACTCCTTGTTTTACAAAAACAAGAATTTCCCAACTACAGCTAAAAATTCAAGAACTGCTTTACCTTAAGTAAGTATGATGGTATAGCAACTTTACTTTGAAAAATTTCAAGGAGTGAAGTGGTTCAAGTATCTGTTTTCTACACAGAACTTTTCAGAAAGGAAGTTCTTAGTGGTACACTACTTTTGGGCAGAGGTAAGGAAGCGACTTTTAATACTTTCCAAAGAGCTTAGTTAATCTAAGAAGTGTTTTTTTTTTAAAAAATCGTGCTTTGATGAAGGTTTACAGAGAAAATTAGTTTCTTATTAAATAATTAATACACATACTGTTTTGTGACGTTGGTTGCCAACCCTGTGACGTGTCAACACTCTCCCCTTCTTGACCTTGGGTTCCCCATTTCCATTTGCCCAGCTTTCCTGTGCCCTCCTGCCTTCTCGTCCTTGCCCCTGGGCTGGTGTGCCCATTTAGTCTCATGTTCACAGCTGAGCTACGTGTATTATTGTTTGTTTTATCGGCCTGTCTAATCTTTGGCAGAAGAGTGAGAAGTGGTTGAGTTTTAAACAAAATTGCTCAAAGATGAAATACAAGTTAACCCACTTCCATACCAGGATGAAATGCAGGTGTAGTTCTTTCACTACTTGGACCCAAAAGTTTAACATGGCTGGCAGGAAACCATCCTTTCTGTCGCTTTTTTCCTCTGGCCTGGAGAAGTAGCAAAAGGAATGTACAATTGAAAGGTGAGATTAAGGCATAACAAACAATTATTGAGACATAACTTAAAAGTTAAGAAAACCCTGGCCAACAACTGGAAGACTCATTACAAGATGCATCTCAAAGTGCTGCTAAAAAGCTGCTGAAGATGTCTATTTGGAGGCCTTACAGGCTCAGGGTTCTCTGAATATTTCACACAAATAATTTAAAAAGACCTATCTAGAGTTCTCCGGATAAGCTCAATCAACCCTTAAGATGGTACAGCCCAACTGTAAATACCCCTTGGGGCTTTGTTAAAATTAATGAGGAGGTCATAAATAAAATTTTGGAGAGCCATGTTTGCAACTTAATTGGGTCAATCTTCAAAGCAAATCAGAAAGTGGAATTTTGGGGTTGTTTCAGATGATGTTGAGACCTGCCCTAAGATCCTGATTTGCAAGAATGAGGTATATTTACGTTTTGTATTATAGTGATATTATCGACCTTATGTAAAAATACAGCTATTCACCTCTCATCATCTTTTTGCCCTCAAATGCTTTTTAGATTTTGCTAGTAAGGAAATTTTAGGAAGGAAGAACCCTCTTTTTGGATCAAAACATATGCAACAACCTTATCTGTTAACATTTTAGGGGAAATGAACTGGGCTCATCTATGTCTGTACCCCTTTCCTTGCACTGTTCTTTCAGAAACCTAAGACCATAAGGGGCAATCTGATGGGAGGTATTTTCTCAGCACACAGCCTGGATCCTAGACGCTATACTGCAGGCCTGGGGCTACCCCAGGCAAAGAGAATGCTTTCCTTTACGAAGGTAACCTGTGATTTATTAAAGAAACTGTGTCTTTAGAGAAAACTACTCTTTAAGTTGTCTCTGATAACATCAACTCAAATGCTGAACAGGAAAACACTAGAGGAAAACAAATGTTAATACTGCTTACCTCTAGGTGGTATGATTACAGGCAATTTAAAATTTTTATTATTTTTTAAATGAGCACACATTACTTTTATAATAAAATTGATAAATGTTAATTAAAGATTCATTACCTGTAACTCCCCCTGCCACCATCCACTTGCATTTTTCTTTAGAATTAATATTAACTGGCCTGGTGCAAGGCTAAGCTGTTCAGAACCAGAAGCCATATATGCTGAAGTTACTTGAGCAATCTCTGAACAGAAGAAAATTATGAAAAAAAGCAAGAGATTATGAATTTAAGACTACAACAAAGCAAATATTTTAACATTTTTTTCAGGTACATTGTTATACATACCAGGTTTTTTGTTTGATGTTCCAGATTTGCTAGCACTCCCAAAACTCTAAAAGGAAAAAATACCATATTGTTTTATCATTTTTCCAATAATTCAGATACAAAAGTACAAAGGTTATTAGGAATTAGATTTCCAAGTCTCATGATTTTTATTTCTTTAAATAAAGGTCAAAATGACAACCTCATACTAACCAAACGTTAAGAATTCAACACTTAGGAGGAGATGTGGTCTACTAATAGAATACATTACGTACAAGTGGCTGATGCTGCCGTTGCTGGCTCAACATATAGCTCATCTTCTGAATCTTTCCTGAATATAAAACATGACTATCCAGGCCAAATACACCTCATTTACCAGTTAGCATCAGTGCCCACCATACACAACATGTGTGTCCTAGATATGTTAAGGCATGATGTGAGTTTTGCCTCTGCTTTCTCTAAGGGACCTTGACTCATCTACAGTCCTGCTTCCTAGGAGGCAATGTTTTTTTCTTTTTTTTTACCATGTTCCCTCCCAAACTGACTGAACCTGACCTGTAGTTTGCAGATCCTGTGATGGTGGTGGGGCCTTGATACCCTTTCAGGGAGTCCATGAAATAAAGACTATTTTCATAATAATACTAAGATGTTATTTGCCTCTTTGTGTTGAAATTTACAATGGTGGGTGAAATTGCTGGTGCCTTAGCATGGACCCCTGGTGGCACAGTGGTTAAGAGCTCGGCTGCTAACCAAAAGGTTGGCAGTTCTAGTCCACCAGCTGCTCCTTGGAAACACTATGGGGCAGTTCTACTCTGCCCTTCCTATAAGGTCGCTATGAGTCAGAATCAACTCGATGGCAATGGGTTTTCAATGGGTTTTAGCATGAATCATGGAAGTGACACCAAATTATACTAGTAGTCATAGTATTCACCACCACCATGCCCTCACAACAAAAAAAGCCACTTTCACTTAAGAATGTCCTTGATCAAGCAGTACAAATTTTATTAAATTTTGGTCCTCAGGTACACCTTTCTAAAAATCTGTGTGACTAAATGGAAGTATTTATAAAGTATTTCTGTTGCATACTGAAGTACAATGGCTGCCTTAAGAAAAACCACTTGTGTGATTAAGTTGCAAGCTGAACTAGGTTTTTTTTCAGGGAACAACATTTTTGCTTGAAAGAATGACTTATAGATTATTCAGACTTGGGATGTGGCAGACATTTTCTCAAAAATAAATGAAGTAGCCTCTGTCCCATGTGTGTGTGAGATCAAATTTTCTTCATATACTTTAACCAAAACAAATTGCAACAGACTGAATGCAGAAACAAATGTGAGAATATAGCTGTCATCAATTAAGCCAGACATTGCAAAAATATAGAACAATGACATTCTTCTCACTAAACTTTTTCTTTTTTGGGGGAAAATAATATATTTTTCATTGTTTTTCATAAAAAGTCAGTTACTTATGTAACCATGTAATGGTTTTAATGTTATTTTGAAATGAATTCATAAATATTTAAGTAATTTCACAGTTTTAATTTCTAATATGGTAAATATCACTAGATATAACCCATATTCTTTGAGGTAGGTCCTCAATAGTTTTTAAGATTGTAAAGAGTTCTTGAAACCAAAAACTTTGAGATCCACCGCACTACACCACACTGGTGGTGAGGTGAAAAGAAGCAGGAACTCAAGAGTGTAAGGTGAGTCCCGTGAATGTCAGCGCCTACAGTGAAGGTGTACAAGCTCCTTCAAGAAGGTCCTTTGCCAGCCTCCCTGGAGCCAGAGCCACGCCCTAGCTTCAGTTATCACTGCCCAGCCCTGACTCTTGTTCTTACAATTTCATGAAATCCTGCCCCCCTAATATCTCTATAACTGGACTCTTATAATACGACCCTTTTTACTGGAACTACCTTCAGTAGTAAGGAGCCCTGGCATCGCAGTGGTTAAGCTCTTGGCTGCTAACCAAAAGGTCGACACTTCCAACCCACCAGCCGTTCTGTGGGAGAAAGATGCAGCAGTCTGCTTCCATAAAGATTACGACCTTGGAAATTCTATGGGGCAGTTCTACTCAGAATTGACTCCATGGTAACGGGTTTGGTTTATCTTGAGAAGTTTATTTGTAACCAAAGGAGTCTGATAAAAACCACACACTCTCCTGTAAGTAGAAATCTTAATTAGCAAGAATGGAATGATTTTGCTTCCATATCAAAATAACTCTACCTCTTGATCTTTTGGTTTGACGTAATTTGATGGAAAAATTCCAGTTCTGGCTCCAATACTTCCTGCCCACCATTCTCCATCTTTCTGGGTCACCAATATTTCTTCACCTTCGGTGAAAGTCAAATCTCCAGGTTCTACACTTGAATATGAATAAAGTGCAATATACTCTGAAGGGAACAAACCAAAAGAAACTAATTTTGGTTGTAAGATTATAGAAGTGAAAAAAAAAATGTTAAGAGCACACTGACAAAAGCAAAACAATTATCAATCAAAGAGCCTAAAGGGGTATACTGAAAAAATTTCTTTGTAATATTTATGATAAAGTGTACCCTGATCTCAAGTCCTACTTAATGATCTATATGGCACACTGTAATTAAGATACAATTTTTAAACAATTCAGTGCACTGACGTTTCCTTACCTCTTAAGCATCTACAATCTAGACATATGGTAACAGGAAAACAAAAACCTTCATGCTATCTCATCACAACACTTTTTAACTATAATCTTATTTATTGAGCCAGTCTATGCTGAATTTTTATAGCACTGTCTTTCTAAAAGTATATATTCAATATTCACATGAAATAGACAGGGAGTAGGTTTTCCTAACCTCACTTTAAAAAAATGAAGATGCAGAAGTAGGGAGATTAACAACTGTGTGAAGTCAGGCAATTAGTCAGTAGCTTAGCTGATTGCCATCTAATTTACAAACGGCCAAAAGCTTACCGTCTCCAACTGTATAGGCTGCAGAGGTAGGTTTCTTATTTACAGATGCATACACAGCTTCAGGTCTGCCAAATAAATAAAGAAACATAAAAAGCAACAACAAAACAAAAAAGATATAAACAAACAAAGAACAAGTAAGGTGATCTGATGAACACAGCAGGTGTTTGCAGTGTATTCTTTCAGGGTTTTCCAAAATTATTCTAAATATTGTTTCAGTACACAGACTGGAAATAATTTTTCATACATAAAACACTGCTGGACTGAAAACAGCCTAATCATAAACTTTTAAAATTTTAAATATATAGAATTTAACATAATTTGTAAAGAGTATTTCAAATGTGAAATATTCTGTCTTTCTTAAAAAAAAAAATACCTTAAAATATCTCAAAGAGATTCCAAGAGAAACAAACACACTAGCAAATGGGCAGTTTTTTGGTTAAGCTCATACGGGGTTTGGCCTGGTTTAGAGAAAAACAAGGGCAATATATCATGCGCAGCCACTACCATTGGTCAGTGGAGGTTTGTGTGTTGCTATGATACTGAACAGGTATTAGCTGAGCTTCCAGACAAAGACGGACTAGGAAGAAAGGCGTTGAGATCTACTTCCAAACATCAGCCAGTGAAAACCATACGGGTCACAACGGTCCGATCCACAACCAATTATGGATCAGGCAGCATTTTGTTCTGTTGAACACGGGGCTGCCATATGTCGGAGGCGACAGGACAGAGGCTAACAACAACATTAAAAAAAAAAAAATCTAATAAAATAATTTTTAAAACTATCTAAGAAAAGGTATAGCATTAATTTCCATTTTTAACAAAGGAAACGGTTTTCAAAAATCTGGAAGACTGTCATGTTTAAGCACTAGATATCTGTGGGCTGTACCTGGGCTCTCCAGGACCTATGAGTAAATTATATACTGAGATGGTTTTCAGGTAAATAGAAGTGGAATCCTACTATAACTCATGGCCACAACTGAATACTCTGCCTTGTTTAGTGCTAAATTGTCCATTACTTCAGATTTTCAAGTTATCTGCCTTACCAGTTAGAAGAGATTTGGTAACTGAATGAAGAAGAAGGAAATAAGTACTATAATATAGCTAAGAGAATGGAGAAGACATGTCCTTAAGGCATTTTAAAGCATTGAAACTTAATTTCTTTGTGCCTAAATATTCTTTTCTGTAAAATGTTATGGAGGTTAAATAATTCCTATAAAAGGCCTAGCTTCAGTTATTACAGTGTCAGCAAACATATGCCCGCAATACAGTCTTGTTACTGTTCTTACCCACTTCTAAATCTAAAATTCTATGTCAGTCTGAAAAGTTTCTGCATTTGAACTTAAAAACTTATACATAGAAAGAGCATTAAAAGAACTCCTGAAGATTATTTATACAGTCTGGCAAAAATAGCAGAATTGGAACTCAAGCGTTTTGATTTCCAAAGCCCAGTCCCCTTCTATTAAATCAAACTGCTTTTCTATTTAGATCAACTTCCCTATAAAGACACAAGAGATGGCGATATTACAGCATTTACTGTATTGTATTAAAGATACCTAACGACCTGACTCCCCTAGAGACTGGGAAATAAAGGCCAGAGAACTTAACCTATTCAGTTCTTGTTTTTGGTTCATTTGAAAATTCATTCATTCATTTGCTCCTCCCTCATTCATGATATAAGCAAGCAGATACTATGTCCTAAGCAGTGTAGCAGGCATGGAAACACTACAAAACAAACAAGTAACAATAACAAAAAAAGACATGGACCCCAGCAAGAAAGTAAATAACTGCAGCACAGTGTGCTATGAGGAATAAGAGATGTGTTCCCACAGGTGGGCCCACTTTAGCAGAGAGGAGGACCTCAGTAAAGAGTTATGTAAATACTGACAATTTACAGTAAACAACAAGGCAGAATGCCGCCAAAGGAAATGAAAAATAACTTCTTCAACTAAGCTTATGGTACAAAGAAAGGAAAACATCAAAAATTTTAAGTACTTTGATATTCAAACTCAAGCATAAACTTTTTGTTGTACAGTGCATTGTGCTATGGCTGACTCATTGGTGAAATCACCACCTCCATCTCATGTAAATGCTCAAAGATGCTTACTCTTCTCTCTTGACTTCACTCCCAGGGATGATCTTGACGTAAGATTTTGGAAACCATCCTCTTCCTCCATGTACCTCCCCGAACCACCAATTTTCTTGCTGCTCCAAGACAGTAATGATATCATGTTTTGAGAAGTTCAAGTGGTTATCCTTCTTTGCAGTCCAGGAGCAAAGGGCCTGTGCTTTTAAGTTTTCTACAACCTGTCCCTGTAAATAGAAAAACACAAAAATTAAAAACAAAAACAAAAACAAAACAACGGTAACCATGATTTCTGTTTCCAAGTATGTAACATATATGTTCAAACAGCAGACCAGTCTGGTGTGATGATGACTTATTACCAAGGGAGGCTTAAGATAACCTTATTCTACTAACCGACTTAAAATTGTATCTGAGACAATCATCTGAGTGGCCTTCTGTTAAGTCAAAGAAAGACTGGACCATTGCCATTCAAGGAAATTTTTTTTTCTAACTGTTGTGCTTTAAGTAAAAGTTTACAATTCAAGTTAGTCTCTCATACAAAAATCTATACATACATTGTGTTATGTGACCCTAGTTGCTCTCCCTATACTGTGACAGCACAATCCTCCTTTCCACCCTGGATTTCCCATGTCCATTCAATCAGCTCTTGACCTTCTCTGCCTTCTCATCTTGCCTCTGGATGGGAGCTGCTCATTTAGTCTCATGTATCTACTTGAGCTAAGAGACACACTCTTCACGAGTATCATTTTATGTCCTATAGTCCAGTCAAATCTTTGTCTGAAGAGTTGGCCTCGGGAATGGTTTTAGTTTGGGGCTAACAGAGAGTCTGGGGGCCACATCTTCCAGGGTCCCTCCAGTCTCAGTCAAACCATTAAGTCTGGTGTTTTTACTAGAATTTGAGTTCTGCACCCCACACTTCTCCAGCTGTGTCAAGGACTCTCTGTTGTGTTCCCTGTCAGGGTAGTCATTAGTGGTAGTCGGGCACCATCTAGTTCTTCTGGTCTGAGGCTAAGGAAGTCTCTGGTTTATGTGGCCCTTTCTGTTTCTTGGGCTAATACCTTCCTTGTGTCCTTGGTGTTCTTCATTCTCCTTTGCTCCAGGTGGGTTGGGACCAATTGATGCATCTTAGATGGCTGCTTGACAGCTTTTAAGACTCCAGACACCACTCACCAAAGTGGGATGCAGAACATTTTCTTAACAAACTTTGTTATGTCAGTTGACTTAGATGTCCCCTAAAATCATGGTCCCCAGACCCCCATCCCTGCTACTCTGTCCCTCGAAGTGTTTGGTTGTATTCAGGAAACTTCTTAGCTTTGGTTTAGTCCAGTTGTGCTGGACTGTCCCTCCCCTGTAGTATGTGTTGTCCTTCCCTTCACCTAAGATAATTTTTGTCTACTATCTAGCTAGTGAATACCCCTTTCCCTCCCTCCCCACCCTCATGAAGGAAACATCTTGACATTAAATATTACCGTAATGGAATGTAAATAGTGGGTACTCAAGAAATGTATTCATAAATCCATTAAGTACACGTCATGGAACAAATGGAAAGGGAAAGAGTTACTACAAATCTTTTTCTCTCCTCCAGCTCTTAACTGTAGTTGATTCAGTTTAATGCATCAGCATTGGAGATGGGGTTATGCTTGGCCTCCCTCCACTTTCCTGCCTTCTGTCTCTTAACTTCTTTGTAGTTTCATTCACTCTTCTTTCTTTCCCTCCCTTCTCAGAGGAAAAAGTGTTTCTGTCCTGTTCATAAGGCTGACTTCTTCAACTGTGCTCAAAATCTTATATTACACCCTCTCATTTCCTAAAAATATTTTGCAACACTGTTAAGTCCTCAACTTGAATCTTTCACCTCTTTCTCCACTTCTCTTTCTCCTACCTCTAAAGAAAGTATGGTTTTAAACTTGCTTTCCAATTTCATCCCTTAACCGATTCTAATTTGAGTTGTACACCCATCATACTACTGAACCTCTTCTTGACAAGGTCATTGATAATATCATAATGGCCAAAGTCAAACGCTTCTTCCAAACCCTTATTCTCCTTGATCTCTGAACAGTACTGACATCACGAAAATCTTTGCTGTTCCCGAAGCTCACTTTCTGATGATTGGTGGCTCCTCTTTTGTCCTGCCTTTTTCCCCTTCCTGCCTGACATGCTCTCTCGAAATAATCTTATTTATGCCTTTGACTTCTCAAATCTTTATCTTCAGTGTAACTTTATCTCCCGAGCTCCAGATCTGTAAATTAAACTGCCTACTGAGTCTTTCCACCAGGTTGCACCTAATACAGATATATAAAACCAAGAAATGTAATCATTTTTAGAACCCACCAAACCCACTCCTCCTGCATTTCCTATCCAAGACAAATAATATTCCCATTCTTTCAGTTGCCCAAGCTAAAGTCTCTGGAGAGTTAACTTTAACTCCAACTTCTTCCTCACCCTCTACATTCAATGGGTTACCTATTTTGTGTTAATTTGCACAGCGTGGGACAAATGCCCTCTTAAATCCATCTCCTATTTTATATTCTCATTACCATGGCCCTGGTTCAACCATCATTTCTTGTTACTTAGCTATCATAATATCCTCCTTTACCTGGTCTCTTTCCTTTTCTTCCTTCTGCCAATTTGGCCCCTGCACTATTGCCAGAGTTATCTTTCTAAAATATATACCTCAACTCCTCTCTTAAAAACCTTCAGGACTTCTACTGCCAAATTGTTTAGCATGGTATTAAATGCTTGACAAATAAACCACAACCCCTCTCTCCGTTTTCACTTCTTAATCCTCTCTCCATGAATCTAGTGCTATAACCAGTAAAACTAGTTGCTGTGTAGTCAATTACGACTCATGGTGACCCCATGTGTTTCAGAGTAGAACTGTGCTCCATAGGGTTTTCAATGGCTGTGACCCTTCTTTCGAGGTGCCTCTGGGTGGATCTGAATCACCAAACTTTTGGTTCACAGCTGAGCGCTTAACCATTTACACCACCCAGGTATCCTTCCTGTACTATAGCCATACCACAAACAATTCTTGTTTCCTGCAAACAGCTTGTGTTAGCATGCTTCAGTGACTTTCCACAAATTATTCTTTCTTTACACTAACTTTCCTTCTCTGTTTGCTGAAATCTTGTTTATCTCTGAAGGTCCTGCTCAAATATCTTGCCTTTTGCAAAGCTTGCTCCAATTCCTATAGATTGAATGAGATGCTCTTTCCTATGTACACTTCTTAGAACTTTGTACATATCTTTATTATAACACTTCTCACACTTTACAGTTACTTACATATCTGTCTCCATTATATTATGAACTTCTTAATGACAGGGATTTTTACTTGTTTTTCCTTTAAACTTCCAGCACACAAAATGTCTGCAACCTATGGTCACTCAATAAAGATGATTTGAGTGAAGGTGAAATCTCTAGGACTCTATTCTAATGACATCTGCTATTTCTTTTTAATCATGTTAATCTAACAATACTTAGAATGCTTATGTCTAAACCAGAGGCTAAGTATATGCAACAAAATTCTAAGTTCCCAGACAAATGATTTACTTAAGAAAAAAATAAAAACAAACCTCAAACCCAAATCTCTTATCTCCTACAATAACTACAAATGAAGAAGAATATAATCAGATGTTTAAAAATGAAGTTTTGAGCTTAGATACCTTAGCTGTTAATAACTTGGTACTACAGAAATGAATTGTCGCTGAGAAACTTCTTAAGTAATAGTAATTTCTTTAACTTCATGTCACATATGAAGAACAGAAACTAAATACTACAAGCTCTGGTTAAATGAGTGAAAGATGCCTTTATACAAAATTTTCATTCTATTTTATGTGCAGGAGAAGCAAATTCAAAGAATAAAGTACACAAAAATTAAAAACAACATACTTGTCCGTGAATAGGTGAAACAGACGCAGGCGACACAGTGCGAGTAAAAGCTGATTTTTTCTGCCATGATGTATTAACAGTTAGGTTTGAAAAAGATACATTTTGATAATCAGTCACTGATGCTGGTTGATTTGAAGAAAGTGGTCTGTAAATATAACACCTTGATATAAGCAGACTTAATTGTAGAACCCAATGATATATTACCAATTTATCAACTTGTATATAATATACACTGTATTAAAACATAATTTGTGGAAAAAGGAATTCAAGAACAAACTATTGGCCTAAGTTTTTATTTACTAAATTTCAATATTCAGTTTGGAATAACAGGTACCCTTGAAGAGCCCAGACAGATTACAATATGATTACGGAGCAGGTTGACACAAATATGTATTAGGTATTTATACATTTGCAGAGCTGTACAAACTCCACTGTTAGCTAAAAACTTACTCAGAGGAAGTTGAGGTAGCAGGTAAAGACACTGCAGGAGGAAGTAAGGCCTTCTTAGGAGACAAAGCTTTTTCACTTGATGACATCTTTTCTACATAGTTGCATGGAAACCAGCCAAAATTTCCTTTAGAACTACCATAGAGCCAACCAGGCTCTCCTATGGTTTTTTCATCAACCTATGAAAACAAAAAGAAGGGTTAACGATGCTTAGAAACCCACACATTTACACTGGGAAGACACGCAGACAGTACAGTACAGTATCCTCGTTTTCAAAATGCAGTTCACCTAACTAAACGGGTAAGGTATTTTCTACAAATTACTTTTTAAAATTTAATTGTTAAATTTTTCAAGTTCATACCTGAAAATATTTCACAAAAACAAATAGTATTATAAATGACTTATGATAGAAAACAGCTTTCCCTTTCCTCACGGCCCCTTATGTCCTGATCTTCATTCCTAATGGTAACTTGCCATTCTTTATCATTTCTTCTGTATTCTCTTCTATATTTCTAAATAGCATACTGAATTTCTTGATTTTTTTCAATTTTAGACATTACCTATTGGCTTTCAGTTAGGGAAAATGAAGATACAACCCTCTTTAACTGCAACCTCTTATTCTAACAATATTGTTAAATCATATTTTTGGTTAAATTATACTCAATGTTTATCATAACTATGTAAATAGTCCACGTCTGAGTCATGTAGTGTTTGCGCATTACATTTCGTTTCTTGTAAACTTATTTTCCTGTAGTGAATAGTTACTTTGTTTTTGTTTAGTTTTCTCTGTTCCTATCACAGAGTCTTCTTGAATACTCCAAAAGAACTATAAAGATTCTCTGAATGTTTTTTTCCACCTGGTGAAAACCCTCAGATAATTTATCAGTTCCATTTTTTTCCTCAGCCATTTCCCTTCTACAGTCTGACATCCTCCCTCTTCACAGCACCTCTTTCTCAACTTCTTGGTCATTCATTTCCAGTGCACATGAAATGTTCTCCAGAATAGACCACACCTTAGGCCACAGAGCAACCCTCAACAAGATCCAAAACGTTGAGATAATACAAAGTATCTGCTCTAACCACAAGGCCATCAAGGTAGAAATTAACAACAAGAAGAGCAAGGAAAAAGATCAGTTACATGGAAACTGAATAACGCCTTTCTTACAAACCACTGGGTAGTAGAAGAAATCAGAGATGGAATCAAAAAATTGCTAGGATCAAAAGAGAATAAAACACATCATACCAAAACCATTGGGACACAGCAAAAGCAGTACTCAGAGGACAATTTATAGCAATTGATAGCAATACTGATGCCACCTCAAGTTTCAACATTGGCTTTCTTACCTCATGTTACTTTCCTGAACAGGCCCACTCAACTCCCTCCATTTTATCTGTTCTCTATGAGTTAATGAATCCAAAAGCTACACCCTCAGAACTGACGTCTTCCCAAAGGGACATGCCTGTACTTTTAACTATTTGCAGAATATTTTTAACTGGATGTTTTCTCTCCCATCCACTCCTCCTAAAATCACCTATATCTGTTTTTCTTACCACCAAAGACTTACTCACTCTAAATAAAAAATCTCTGGCTCTTACCTCTCTTTCACTCCCACATCCAAACTCTGTTGACATTGCCTCTAAAAGCTATCCTGAATTTGTTTTCTTCTTTTCAACCCCACCATTGGTAACCTACCTCAAACATTTTTCACTTCACTCCTAGATATAATAATTTTTACTCATTCTTCAGGTTTCTGTTAACTGTCCCCAACCCAGGTCACAGTTATCTCATATTTACTGTCACAATCAGCATAATTATACTGGATTATTCTTTATTTACCTGTATCTCCTCCCGTTTTCTGTGAGTCCCTTTTTTGACCTACGTTGTCTAGCATAGTACATATCTGTTTAATTAGCTAAATGAATATGCCAACTATGTATCTGTCTCCACTCAATTTTCCATATTTTTCCAGAATGACCTCTTTAAAACACAGATTTAATAGTGTTATGTTAAAATAAGATAGAATTTTTATAGAAAGTCATCTAAGATCCATTATGATTTTTAAAACAGCTTTTTTTGTGGCACAATACATAATAACCTTCATGTATATAAGGTATTAAATTTGCTAAGTTCTGACATATGTATACACCTCTGGAAAATCACCACAATCAAGATATAACAAACATGTGCTTAATGGTCATTTATATATATCCTTTTTTGGAGAAATGTTTATTTAGATCTTTCACCCATTTTCTAATTAGACAATTTGTCTTTTTATTACCGAATTATAAGAGTTCTTTATATATTCTAGATACAATTTCCCTTATCAGATATATGATTTGCGAAAAATTTCCCCCCATTCTGTGGACTGTCTTTTCATTTTCTTGATAGTGTACTCTGAAGCATAAATGTTTTTAACTTTAATAATGTCCAATTTATCTACTTTTTCTTTTGTTGCTTGTGCTTTTGGTGCTATATCTAAGAATCCACTGTCAAATCCAAGGTCATGAAGATTTATCCCTGTGTCTTCTTCTAAGAGTTTTAAAGTTTTAGCTCTTACAACTTAGGTATTTGATCCATTTTCAGCTGATTTTTATATATGGTGTGATCCAACTTCATTCATTTATATGTGGCTATCCAGTTGTCCCAAGCACCATTTGTTGAAAAGACTATTTTTTCCCCTACTGAACCGTCTTGGCCTCATTATCAAAAACGAATTGATAATAACTGTAAAGTTATGTTTAACTTTTAAAGAAAATGCACAACTATTTTTCAAAGTGGTTCTTCCTTCCAGCAATGTTTTATTAGCATTTCAGTTGTTCCATATTCTTTTCAACACTTAGTATAGTCAATTTTTAAAATTTTAGACATCTTAGTGTTTAATTTGTACCTCCCTAATGATTAATGATGTTCAGTATCTTATCATGTGCTCATATGGTATCCCTGTATTTTCTTTGGTGAAGTGTGTGTTCAAATCTTGTGCACATTTTAAAAACTGGGTTATTTCTAATTGGTAAGTTTTGAGAGTTCTCTATATATTCTAGATACACGTTCATTATCAGATAGGAGATTTGCAAATACTTCTTCCCAGTCTGAACCAGTGTCCTTTGAAAACCAGTAATTCATGATTTTTATGGAGTCTAATTTATTTATTTATTTATTTTATGGATCATGGTCTTGATGTTGTATCTAAGAAATCCTTGAGTAATCCAAAGTCATAAAGAATTTCTCCTATATTTTCTCCTAGATGTTTTACAGTTTTAGGTTTCACATCTGATCTATCTTAATGTTTTTATATGATACAAGGGAAAAATAGAAATTCCTTGTTTCTCCAACAAGTTGCAACTGCACCTTTGTCCAAAAAAAAAACATTCTCTATTCTGTTCCATTGATCTACTTGCCTATTGTGATACTAAGATGGCACTGTTTTGACTGCTATAGCTTTAAAATAAGCCTTAAATTCAGGTAGGGTAAGTCCTCCAACTTAATTCTTCTTTTTTAAAGTTGTTTTGGTTTTGAATAACCTCATCAATTTCTATAAAAAGGTCTGCTGGAATTTTGATTGTAAGGAGAGAACTGATATCAATACTGAGTCTTTCATGAATATGGTATACATCTTCATTAAGTCTTCAATTTTTCTCAAAAATATTTTGTAATTTTCAACGTACAACTATTGCACATCTTTTGTCATTTTTATCTCTAAACATTTCATATTTTTGATGCTATTGTAAATGTTATTTTCTGTTCTAATTTCTGAACGTTTGTTGCCTGTATACAGAAATATAATTGACTTTTGCATAATGATCTTGCATCCTGAAACCTTGCTAAACTCACTATTAGTTCTAGTAGTTTTTTTTTTTTGTAGATTTCGGGATTTTCTACATAGACAATCATGTGTTCTGCAAATAAAGACAGTCTTAGTTTTCCATTTGCAATCTTGATGCCTTTTGGTGTACAGAAAGTCACTCCAAAACAATTAAGATTTTTATCCAAGTGGAATCTGTCTCTCTAGTTTAAAGCTCTTCAAAATTCAAACGTCTTAGAATTCAAGGTCCCTGAAATTATGATTCCTTTGTCAGGTCCCAACTTACCTTTCTAGCTTCATCTCATACCATGTGTACCATGACCTTGGCAAATGGTTATGTGACATTCTTTAAATGCACTTGGTGCCCACACACACCTCAATGTTTTTGTTTACGCTATTCCTTCTACTTAGAATGTTATGAGGTATAGGGGAAAGAACACAGACATGGGAGTTAAAAGCATCATGCTTCAGTCTTAGCCATACTACCTGGCTCTCCTCTGGTAAGGTAATGATTATTATCTAAAGTCTATTTGTTCATCCATAAATCTGGAAAAAAATACCTGCCCTGCTTTCCTTCAGGTTATTTTAAGAATTTAACAAAATATTTATGAAGGTGCTTAGTAAACTGTAAAGCACTAAGCAAGTATAATCCCTTTGAGGTCCTCTTCCATCCTATCCTTGGGGAAGATGTTCCCCAATTCTATTTGTTTGTGTTACTGCCTCATCCTCTAGGTTTTCATAGCACTTTATATTATTATATTTTCTATAATTATGCATATTTCCATTTTCTACCTAGAATGTGGCCTCCTTATTCATATCTGTATATCCTCAGCAGGTACACAGTAGAAACTCAACAAATGTTAACCTGAACAGGCTATTCTAAATTAAGTATACAATAAGCTCAAAGCTTAATCAATAATAAATGGGTTTATTATCAGGGCAACTTCATTTATATTTATGGTATATAATTCTCCTTTTAATGCTATATGTCTGGTTATTTATTACATCATGAATGAGATATGAGAAACCTCCTCAACTACAGCTGCTGTGGTTAAATTACATAAATAGTGTCATAGCTATATTAACTACCACAAAATGGTGTTCTGAAATAGAACAAAAGGAACCACTGATGAAATATTATCCTCTAGTAAGCCTAGTTTTAAATAGCTAAGCCACAGCAATAAAACTAAAGACAAAAACACAATAAATCCTGAGGAAGTTATACAACTTAAAGTATCCCAATGCTGCTAAATGCTCAGCAACATACTTGATTTAAATGTATGGTCTCAAGGCCAGGAATTGCTATAAGGTATGAGTACTGTAAGGTATGACTGCTGGCATTTAAACACTAATTTCCTCCTCTGTGTACAAACTTT